TAAATTTACCTTAAAACAAACCAAAGTGAGAAGTGTACATTTCTTTACACGCCAAGCGTGGTATTTAGTACAGTCTTTCTTTATATGTCCCATATTTTCACAAAAGTTACAGCTAAATTTATTTCGCTGTTTATTTTGAACCAAACCAGATGCAAATTTCTTATTCTTTATTATTTGTCCTTAGAGTTGCCTGCTAAGTGAGTAATATCAATTTTATCTTATTTTAACATTTTTTCTTCTTACACACAATATGAAAATGAGCTAATTAAGATTCCAATTTCCCTTTCTGACAGTTGTGACTGTCCTTAATTAATCGAATTGTACAGGAAGAAAGATCAACACCAAATGTAAGAGCAAGTCATCAGATAGCTCAAACTTTGGTCCCTTAAGTTGAGAAGTAATATGAGACATCTCCATGATGTACTCCCTTATGTTCCTCTTGCCTTTATACCTTATAGAAATCAAGCTTTATAAAAGCGTACTTGCTTCAGCCTTACCATTTTTTTTCCGTAAAACGTTTCTCAATTTCAGCGATAAAATCCTTGGTATTAGTTACTTCTTTAGATACTACGCTTAATGATCATTAGACTCATGCGATTTGATCGATCCCACTTCTCAAAGTTCCCATATTCATCGGATGAACTTTCTTTCGTAAGAGGAGCTGGTTGCTCAATCCGGAGCAAGATCTAGATCTTTGCAACCAAGAACAATTAATATGCCCTCTTTCCAATTCTTGAAGTTAGTTCCATTTAGCACGGGAATATAGTTGATATTGATAGATATTGTAGAAGTGGATGGATTAACTGAATAGAGAACTAATTCCCAATTAACATGTTCACATTGGAATCCGTAATAAACAATTAATTAATTCAAATAATGGTAAACTTCATCTCAAGATATGTAGCGCAACATTAATATAAAGTTTTTGGACAGTAATATTAATTGCAAATGGTACTCTTGGTGTATTGATCAAACATTGACAATAACTCCTGTCAAATAATAAACCTATCTTTGGATTGATTTATTATTTACATGGAAACCTTATAATTGTCACACGTTTATCACCACAAGTGTGCATGCAATTTGGCCAAATATTAAATTTTCTGTGGACTGGCTAATATCCGCATGAACTAGCATACACATGAAGTCCTTCTAATATTCTAAGTAANCAATTTGGCCAAATATTAAATTTTCTGTGGACTGGCTAATATCCGCATGAACTAGCATACACATGAAGTCCTTCTAATATTCTAAGTAATTAATTTTCACAAAAGATGTTGCTTTGACAATATATTGCTTCAATCAATTCACTTTTGAATATTATATTCTCAAATGAGTAATTTATACCAAAATTTGAAAAGCAGAACACTTTCTCACATATTTGTCCAATCGAGACCAAGCCGCCAATTAAATTGGATCAGAAATTCGATCAAATTGTTATTTACACTTACGAATAATTAATAGGTCACAGAAAAATGGAATAAATGTACTGCCAAGGGAAAATGAGGGTGTGGCAATGAAGCTTTGGAGAAAGTTGTAAACAATGAAACGACATTTTAATGGTTAAGAAAATCGCTCAAGAAGTTTCAAACGACATTTTAATGAAACGATGAAGTCTTCGAACTTTGTTTAGTTGCAGCATCAACAGTGAAACTGAATATTGTGAATTAATGTGTTCAAACACAGTTCCAAAAGAGTCGCTCTAAAATTTTACAATAGTTATGCACTCGAAAGTAATCGTAAAATATACAACAATGCTCTAAGAGAGATTCGAGAATCTCCTATATTCTGATAGATACTGTTAATATACATGTAATCCATCAATCTTGAAAGAAATTTAAACCAGACAATAAAACTGCATTCTTGATTCCGATGTTTGTACAACTGAAAAATGTAGTTCACAAAGTAAAATGAAATTCCTTCCAAGTAAATTTACGCTACTCTACAAATGTGCATAGCCACTAGTATTGATACTGATATTATGTTTACTTGGTCAAAAGGGGCTTTAATTTCGGTTTTCCATTGAAATTTTTCGTCATGCAGGCAACAATATTACCCCTAATCTTGTGCTCTATAGATATATAGTAACAAGCAGCCAAATTTAGAGATTAATATTGATTGGATTTTTTTTACATATTTGGAGAGGGAAAAATGACAATGGAAACTGATGCAGAGAAGCATATAAACAGTGAAAATCTGAAGAAGAACAGAATTCAAGTGTCGAACACAAAAAAACCTCTCTTCTTCTATGTCAATCTTGCTAAGGTAGGTACTCACCTCTCTCTCTTTCTCTCTCGGGATCGTGATTGGATCCGCCTATCTTCTTCTTCTTCGACCATAAAATGATCATCTTATCATGCTAATATTGTCAAGGGATACTCCTATTCTATGCTTTCGCAACGTAGCATGTGTGTATCCATTTAAGGAGATCAATATAATTGCTAGATCAATGTTAAAATTGAGATATAAACATATAATTTCTTTATGATGCAGAGGTACTTGCAGCAGAATACTGAGATTGTGCTTTCTGCTTTGGGCATGGGTAACAATATTCTAATTTTTATTCTTAAAATTAAGAGAGAAGATAAATTTATTTATTTATATTTATATATTTGGGACCTTAAATTCACATATTTATGACTAATTTGATAAGAAATGTGTGGTTGAGCTGACATTTTTTTTTGTACAAATCATTACAGCAATTACCACAGTTGTCACAATAGCCGAAATTCTAAAAAATAGCGGATTTGCCACCGAGAAGAGTAAGTAATTACTCTTAACAAAGATTCAATTAGGAAAAATTGCAGTTTCAGAGAATGACAAGTTTCCTAATATAAATTTAATCTTTGTTGCGGTATTATTGGAGCAGAGATTTTAACATCCACAGTAGGAATGAAAGACGAAGCCAAGGGACGTTTAGTTCAGAAAGCCAGGGTCAGTACCTATACGCTCTTGTATATTTATTATGTAACGTTAAATTACCTCGTCTGAAAGGAACAATTTCACGTACATTTACATCATCAATAGTCCCATTACATACGCAAGAAGATTTATTTTTTCCCTAAAAATCTGACAAATTTTGCTTGATTTTGAGGGTGTGGCGCTTAACTTTAAACTATGAAAAAAGGTTTAGTTTATTTTTATACATTTACATCTTCAACGTGTGAAATCACCCAATTTAAAAGTTTAAACCATTAGAAAATAAAATGATTACATGAACACAGCGTGGTCTCCTCATGCGTAGACTAGTTTCTTTATGACTCGTGAATTTTTAATTATTGAGTGGGAGACCTGAACTTTATGAGTTTTGCGATACTACGTTGCACCGCTCATTCTTGAGCAACGCTGAACTTCTCGTTTATAAATACACAATAAATGAACAATCTTTTTGATTTTGAATCATGTTCAGATTGAAATTGTGCTGGAAAAGGGTGAGAAATTTGAGACACTGATGAACCCAAGCCCAGCAGTAGTGCAAGAAGCAACTGAAAATGGGAAAGTTGAAAACAAGCAGTAGCATCTCAATTCTCAACAGATGGCCTGTTGTTTGTATTCTAAATGTTAGCTTCCATTCTTACCATCTCTGTCTTTGTTTCCGTTTAAAAACAAAGAAATAGCTAATAACTTATCCCATTCAAATTGTGGCTATGACATTACTAATTGGAAGAGTGAAAGAAGGTTTCCCATTCATTTTGTCATATGTTTCTCTTACATGACCAGGTGGTCCATTTATTATCATGTTTGGTACGATAAAACTGAATGAGATTAAGGAACAATTGAAACACGAGCTTTTCATATAACCAAACAAAACTTCACCAGAATTGACATATTTCGGAGTTCAATATAGCATTGAACAACAAAAGTCCTTTCTTTATGCAAACCAAAACTAAACATAGACAAATAGTAATAATCACACAGGCTCAACTTTAACTCCTATATACAGAAATTGAAAGACAAAAGGACAAAGAAGTGGTTTACTTCCCAATTGATTTAGAATTTCTATAACCAGCTGTGCATCACAGTTACCTTCATCTGGCATTCCAGAAAGTTGAATCATCTTCTACCATAAGAAGGCATCTGAAAACAGATTATAGACAAAATTTTAATTAGTTGTGCGATAATATACGAAATATTTTCAGGAAATCGAGCATTTCTTGTATATATTAGAAGTTCTTGGATTATACCTAGTATACTAGCATAGAACATTACTCTCACATTGCAGTGCCCTATTACTCAACAAAATCATTACTAAGAGTAGACTAATCCGTCATTTTGGAAGAAACAACACATTAGTAATGAATTCACTTATGATAGGCATTCAAGAACTATTTGCATGTTCATCGTACCTAACTGGTTGCATCCCTTCTTACCTTGAAATTTTTTGATACCTTACGGAGATGCTTATGCAATGAACTATTAACAATATTTCGAATTCGGTATTCATGTACCCATTTGATGCTTCTTTTTAAATATTCCCATTTTTTCCCCACTAATCTGAATCAGAAAAACAATTATCCAGTATGCTTAACTTTTATATGTCGTACAAAAACAAAGGCTTCCTACATTAGAAAATAAGGTATGGACTAGGCTCACAAAAGGTAAAATACATGACTGATAGAGTTTCCTTATTAATTCTAAATCAATGAATAATTTATGACTCAATTGTAAACATGTCTATATGTACAATGACGATAAGTCAAATCCATTGCGAGGGAAAATTGACAGGAATAAGATTGACAATTAATATGACTTCGTAAAGCGTTTACCTTTAAGGTGGAGCTCAGTTATAGAAATTCACATTGAAAGTTGTTGTCTCTTTCTGATTAGAGTTGAATGTACTTCTCGCAGGCGAAAAGGTATTCTCATATAAATTCAAGTCCCCAGGTACCCTTCTCAAGTGATAACAGCATGTTCAAGAAAACTTTGTTCTACCTTTCTAATGTTTTTCTCGAAACAGAAATCATGTCTAGGAGCATCAAACTCATATCTTGAATGACGTGTTGGTTATATTTGAATCCACTGTTTCCTACATAATATATTCAAAATTTCAATGAAAAAGCAGATTGTTCTTGAGGTTTGCTTTGCTTTGTATCTTTTGTAAATGATTCCCTCACTTTCCAATATTTTCTTGAGATGCCTGCCTGTATTCAAGTTCTTTGGAAACACTTACATTACTCTCTTCCTCTGCTGAATTGTCTCCATCAGTCATCTCGGAGTAGACCTCATTTTTCGAGAATAAATTAATCTTTTCTTCTAATTGTTTTAAACATCGCAAGATATATTGTTTTTCATCTTCAACTTCCACAAAGGTTTTACCGCCCTTATTTCCAAACAACTTCAGTGCTTCAACAACTGTATTGATGATATCAAACTTATCATCATTTGAACTGTGAAATGAAGTGGTATTAAGTTTTTTATGGTTTGTATCTAATTGTGCTTCCTCCAATTCACCGGAACCAGATTCAGGATTTGGCATCAAAATGTGACCTGACAATGACACATCTCCAAGTTTGTTCTTGTGCAGTTCAAGTTCAACCTCTAAATTTTGAATCTCCTTCTCCTTCTCTGCAAGCAGGTCATTTGCTTTCTGCAGTGCTTCGCCCTCGTACTCAGCTTGCTCTTCCGCCATTCTTAGGCATTGCAATGTCTCCATATAGAGGGCTGCCTTTTCTTCCTGTAATCTAGTAATCATTGCCATTGCTTGATTAGCAGCAACTGCTGAAGCATTTCTCTCTTCCTCCAAATCTTTATATAAAGCACCTATTACTTTTTTATCATGCTCAACCTGACGTGTCAATCGATCTATCACAGTTTCACCTTCGATTTCACTAATAGTGGTTCCATCAAGAGATATATTAGATTCATTTCTCTCAAGCGAAATCCTTCTTTGTAATATCTGCATCCCTATAGGGTTAGAAGCATCAAAAGTTCTAAAATCATCGCTGTTTGCAGACACCCTAGGGCTCATATCGTTTAATGACGGATCAGTTCCCCGAGAAGATATTTGTGACAGCAAGTGCTTCACATCTTCACTGGCTCTCTCAGAATCCTTCATAGACCTCTGTTGTTCTAAGAGTCTTCCGGAGAACTGTCTTCCCATATTGCCAACAGCTAACTTATAAGCATCACTAAGATCCAAAGAATTAGTTTTCTTAAGCTGAAGTGGTGTCACTTTCAAACTAGAAGTTTCTCCACCCTCAAAGGTAACTTCTCTCTCTAATTCAGCCATGGCTTTGGCATCTACAGCAAGAATGCAAAGAAGATAATAAGGTAGGCAAAATGGTCAAATTCAACTGCCACATCATATTTTCAGAATCATCTTCATTCTTCTTTAAAGAAGAAAACAGAAAAAAGAGTAAAGCCATTTCAATAGCATATCAGGCTATCAACCAATTTTGAAACTCGACTTGATTTATTTTTTCTCAAATTATTTAAATAACTATTTTAGGAACAAAAGATGACAAAAAAAGTGAATAAATCATGCATTCCAGGCCAACAGAGATTTGAATCCACCTAACTGTAGCTGGAATTGGAAAGGTAAGCAAACCCAACAGAAAAGAAAAGAACAAACATGTTGAGAGATAAAAATACAGTAACTCACCAGTCTCTTTTGATTCATAATTTTGAGTCCCAGAAACCTTGGGCAGCTGAAGTACCTCGTCAAAAGTTGTGAGTTCAGATGGTAGCACATTATCATTTTTGTGGTTATCTTGTTGCCAGTTAAGTTCCTCCAACCCATGATGTTTAATGGGTGACTCAGATTTTGTATTGCACCACGAAATATTAGCGCCCAGTTGCATCTCTGACTCTGAAAGTGAAAGCTTGGTTGAAGAATCTGGATATATCAATTTCTCTAGAACTTGATGGTCAGCAAGAGAAATAATTGGAGGTTCTGGTTGCACATACTCAGCAGCTACATCTTTGTCCCATGACTCCATTTTCCGAATAAGTGCACAAGAACTTTCATCATCAGAAAATGGAGTTTCTGATTCAATATCAGAAGTAACATTGATCTTTGCATATTCCACATGTGACAAAGGATCAGCATGAGCAATAACCAGAGGTTCTGGTGACTCCATTTCACGAATAAGTGCATGAGCACTTTCATCATCAGAAAGTGGAGTTTCTGATTCATTATCAGAAGTACCATTGATCTTTGAATATGCTACATGTGACAAAGGATCAGCAGCTTTGTTCCCCGGATGGTGGAAGTTAGATGGTGCATTTTTAATCTCCTTCAACTCATCCCTATTAGGTGCAGATGCTGCAGATAAAGGAGCATCAAGCTCAGCTTCCTCAGTGTCGATTGGTTTAGTTTGAATTAAATTATCAGCATAACTTGTAGACATCCATTTCTCATTGCAACAAGAACACTCTCTCGTGTCAGACGAACCGAGATTATGTTTCCAACCTTGATCAAGCCCAGAATGAGGCTCAGCCCCCAATTTGCCGACCAATAATCTGTACGTTTCAGCACTTGACTTGTTTATTGTGGCAAACGAGAAAAAGCAACTTTTACATGTGTCATGAACATCAGCAAGATTGTTGTGAAGATGACAAAGAACTAAAGATGAAATCTTTAACTTGTGCTTGTGGCATATCAGATCCCAATAAAAACCTACTCTCTCATTGCCCAGAACATGATCAAGTCTTGAACAGAGCAAACACGGAATTTGCAAGTGGCTATAACGAGCAAACCTTGTAACCAAATATGAGAAACCAGCATCGATAAAGAGCATAAAAATCAGCAACCATTCATGAACTGCTCTAACTAGAGCTGTGACAATACTAGGGTAAACTTTCTGCTGAAATTTAACAGTCGGAGTCTCCCTTGAATCCATTGATCAATTGTTACTTAACGAGGAGAGAACTCTAAAAACACCTCAATGGAACAGTAACTCAATATTCCCAAAATATAATAGACAGTCCACGGTGTAATCTAATGCTGTAAACATAAAGAAATTCATAAAGCCCCGAGCTAGCAGTGCAACTTCAATAAAACTTTCACTATACATATATTTATGAATGAGCTAAAAAATCCACAGCACAATCAAACTATGCATTCATGATATTCACAGAATCGTAAACAAGGCCTTATCATAAACCCCTTAGAGAGGCAAAAACCAAACAAATATTTGAATATGCCCAAAATAGAGAGAGAGAGAGAGAGAGACTTGGAATCAAGTTCTGAAAGTCGAAGAACCTCGATAAATATTACTGCCAAATAAACAAATTAATTAAATGATTTAAAAAAATAGAAGATCCAAACCGGCGATCTCTGAAACTCAACCGTAGAAACAAATCAATCTTAATGTATCTATCTTGGAATAGAAAAACACGTGATATTGTGATGTACCCTACAATTTTCCAAAATAAAATACAAAAAAGGAAGCAGAATGAAACCTGGTAATCTGAAGAATCCAAGAAAACAGTTGGGCGTTTCAAAAACAAGCACTTTCACCAAATGAAACAGTAATAGTTACAAGAACAGAATGAGAGGAGTCGAATCAAGAAAATAAAAGACAGAGTCAATCTTGTATTAGAATAAATAATGTATATAGTGGTGGATTGATGTAATGTAACCGAAAGTGTGCGCACAGTTCTACTAAGAAAATAAGTGCTCGTAGCTTTTACAGAGACGCAAATGATTCTTATCGTATAATATTGAAAAACGAAAGTTCGAAGAAGAAACGACGGCCGACCATATCCAAGTACAGCCCACAGGGCTAACAACTGATTCAACTCGCGTTTGATTTCGTTGAAAATCAAAATTTTATTAGAATTATTCTATTTGTATGTAGAAAATGCTTCTTGATAATATTTTCCTTGACATTGTGTGTCCTCAAAATTTGTATCATTCATTGTTTTAAGTGTTTGTTGCAAAAATATAGACCAACTCACACAATGTCAACCAGATTGTATTAACAAAATTATTTTTTACAAGTCCCTGTTTGGTACGGATTAAAATTTAAAATCAAAGTCAACAATTAATTTTTAACCACAATTTTATAGGAGCCACAACTTTTCAACCACACATTTCATTATTATTTTTAATCGAAAATTTACTAAAAATTCGATTTTAATCCCTATAAAACAAGGGCTAAATTTTAATTGTAATGTCATGAAATATATAATTAAAATTAATTATTAATTTTGACTTAATTTTTTTATCAACTTTATTTTAGCTAAATCAAATGGGTATTTACTCTACATTTACTTTAGATATGAACCGATCTAATTCAAGTAGTGCAATGGATAGACTATATATATAAGGGGAAATTACCGTAGCGATTTCTAACCTTTTCAATTTTTGCAGACTTTATCATAACCTTCAATTTGTATCAATATCAGTTCCCTAACCTTTAAAAAATATGTATCTGGAGTCCAAATGGATGAAATCCGTCCACTTTTTTGTTAGTTGACAAAAAAATGAACTTTGACCAAAATAATAGGGGTAAAATGTTAACTTTAGAATGACCACATTAAATAAATAAAAAAAAAAACCAAAAAGAAAAAAAAAAAGAGTTGCTTCCTACAAACCCCCAACCTACCCCTATCTTTACACTCTATCCCCTTTTCCTCAGCCACCAGCAATGTCGGCACCACTACCGACCAATCAAAATAGTCACCACCACAGTCACCCATCTCACACGGTGGTCAAAATAGTTACCATTTTATCCATTTAAAAATAGTTTAAATATGGTCAAAATAATTATTTTAGTCAACTAACCGAAAAGTGAACAGACTCCAATCATTTGGATTCAAGATGTATATTTTTGAAAGGTTAGAGATTGTTGCTAACACAAATTAGAGGTTAGATAAAAATTTGCAAAAATTGAAAAAGTTAAGGACCGCTTTACAATTTTCCATATATATATATAATGCAATCCAAGTTCTATCTCTAAATTGAAACCTAACTAATCTCTTTGTGACTAAGGCACGAAGCATTCAAATTCCAAAATTTACTTAGTCTCTCTCATTTCTTTCTCGACTTGAAGACTTCATCAATAGAACAATAATATTCTTTTTGCAATTAAGCAGGCTTTGGTAGAAGATAGTTTATTTTTATAATTTGAAATTCATTTTTTATGATAGATACTAATTAATAAATTATTGTAAATGTAAAATCATATAAATGTATATTCAATTTTAGGGTATTTGACATAAAACCTTCCGATCTTTATCTCTATTGCGAAATACCTCATGTACTTTTATTTTGGCGTAATACACCTAGACGGCCCAAACTTTGCACGATACAATATTATCTTCTATTTTCTTGATAAAATTTTGTGAAATGACAACTATATTCTCATTTTTAATAGAAAAAAAAAGATAAAGAATTAATTGCAATCGTAATTCCAAAATTTTCAAAAGTAAAAAAATGCAAACGAGTCTCAAATAAATAATTAAAAAATTAATTTTTTTTAAAAAATATATCTTTTTCTCCCACCTACCCCATCTTCCTTCCACTTCCAACCACCATCTATAGCCCTACTTCCATTTCCATTGCTAGTGACGTCGAAGAAATAAATGGGATTATGAGGAGGCGGTGATAGTGGGTAGGAGGAAGATTGGGTAGGTGGGAGAAAAAGAGATTTTTTTTCTTTATTTTAAAATTTTAATTATTTATTTCAGACTCGTTCGTACTTTTTTTAAAAAATTGAAATTATTATTGCAATTAATTCTTTATTTTTTTTCTTTTTGTTTTATTTAAAGAGGAGTGTATGTTCATAATTTCACAGGACATTATTATTGAAAAAATAGAAGAAAAATATTGTATTCCGTAAAGTTTGGACCATCTAAGTGGTATTCCGTCAAAATGGAAAGATAGAAATATTCCGTAATAAAGGCACAAGTCAAGGAGATTTTGAATTACCCTTCAGTTTTAAGTTCCATGATATTTAAAATAATCTATAAAATAACCAAGAACTCTAATTTAACACATATTTTACTCTACTTGTTTGATAGTTCAAATTTGGGACGTACCAACTTAGCATATACTTATTTGTTAATTGCAAATTTGCTATGATAATTGTTTTTGTTCTAATGATTTTTTTGAAGTATAGTTTGCTTGCTAGGGTATTAATTTTTTGATCGTCGTTTCTTCATTAGCTTATTTTTAAAATTAGATTGTTATCGCTTTGTTATGTTGTTCCTACCTTGTAGGTTTAATGTTCAATTTTTGTTGTCTTGTCTTTCTGTTATTGATCTGTTACTGCTTTGTATCCTCGCTTCTTTTTCATTTCGCGATTTTTAGAATTTACAATTAAGAAGCCAACCTTCTACCAAAGAAGAAATATATGATTTTCATACTTTCAAAAGACACGATTTTCATATTTTAAAAAGACACTTCACGAATGAGGACTTGTGGAGAAAGTAGATCTAGATTCTATTGTAGGTGAATGTAATGTTTTAAATTCTCAACATGAACGACTTAAGTAAATAATGTCATTTTAACAATTTTTTTATGTTATATTTAAATTGTATTATATTGAATTTCTTACATTTCATCCTCTTAATGGAAATCCTAAATCCGCGAGAACAATTTGAAAATATTAAAAACGTGGAGATATAAATTGGTAGTTTTGAATTTAACTTTGAATAGACAAAAAAAGAAAATTTCTTGGAAATAGTCAAAGTAGCATGAAAAAACCAAGAAAATAACAAAAACGAAAATGTCTTTTTTCAAAATTTTAATAAAAGATTAAAGTTATGACAAGACTACTCTACTACCGACAGGTGCCACCTCCAAAGAAAAATAAGCTGTCGACCAATCAGGTTTAAGATTCCTTTTAGTTTCTTTTTTCTCTTCTTTATGAATACTAGTAAGACGTCCGTGCCATAGTATATTTGGCTATATGATAGCGTAACTATTAAAAAAAAATTATTTGTCTTAAACATTAGTTACATTAAACTTAAAAAACTTGGAATGATGATAGGTGACAAAAATAATATTAAGAAATTTGATTCAAAACTTATTTTCTAGACTTTGCGTTTGAAGGCCTCTATGTTCTTTTTAAAAAAAAGACAGGGCATAAATGATGAGGTATTGATGCCCTACTAAAGAGATAATGAAGTTCAAAATTATCCCTCTCTTTTCTACCTATTGAGGTAAGGCATTATGTATCATTTATTTCATGCTCATAGAATCTCCAATTAAATGTATCAGTTGCACCAGTATTTAATTTATTTACCAAGACTCTATGCAAGACGTATGTAGTCAAGACTAATTAATTAATGATAATACAGTGCAGAATTTAGGACAAATCAAGGGTCTCCATCAGTATTAAAACCACAACACAACGAAAACTTCTATCATAGAGGCAAAAAGAATGACAAACGATCACTTAACTTCATAAATTTCGTCGAATATCTTTTCAGCATATTTTAATGATACTGTACATTAAATTCATTTAAAAAAAACAAAATAATCCATTTCATAGAAGATATTTGTCTACCGCACTACATGATGTAGGATGATTCTTCTAAAAATCATTGAATTCCTTCAATATCCATTTTGCCACCATAATTTACCCTTTTAACCATAAAAACTAAAGAAAAATGAAATTGAGAGAAATTGGTGTGAGTATGGGGGTTGATGATGGGGGTAGAAAAGAAAAATTAACAATTATGATTTTACGTTTAATAATTTAAGATAATTTTTATATTTAAACTTAATGACAATATATTTATTATTATCACATTTTAAGCTTAAAAAAAAATTAAATCGATCCAAATGAATATTCATATCATGAAATATCGAATCAAACGAAAAATTGTAGGAAAATAAAATTCGAAAAAAGGACATTGGAATGAGGTTGTGATTGAAAAGAAACATAAA